TGGAGAAGACCGCCGGAGACGGCCCATTCGTCAGAACGTGAGGAGCGGGGGCCTCGAGCTTGACCTTGAACCTTAAGAAGTTGCCGGGCCGCTAGTGCGACGGGCTCCTCCAGGTCAGGCTCACCGGAGAGGGCATCACGGATGTCGCGGAGGAGTTCAGAGCCGGGACCGGAAACGGAAACGCCCTCGAGTGCGCGGACGTGGAAGAGTTCAGGCCGCAGGAGGACGACATCGGAGTTGTCGGAATCGACTCCGTGGTCGGGTCTCCGGGAGAGGGCGTCAGGCCGACCCATATCGCGGCCAGGCTTGTGGTGCAGCGTGAAGTCGAACCGGGAGAGGTACAGAGACCACCGGGCCTGTCTCCGGTTGAGGTGCTGCGTCTTCCTGAAGTACTCCAAATTCTTATGGTCAGTCCAAATCTCGACAGGGTGCGCGGCGCCCTCGAGGAAGTGTCTATACTCCTCGAGTGCGCGGATGATCGCGAGCATCTCCTTGTCGTGGATTTCGTAGTTGCGCTGGACATCATTTAAGCTTTTGGAATAGAATGCTACAGGGTGCCACTTCCCGTCCGGGGCGGATTGTGAAAGAACCGCCCCGTCGCATAATCAGAGCTGTCCGCCTCGAGTCGGAAAGGCCGTGCGTCGTCCGGAATCGCCAGGACCGGTTCGAGGTGACCGCCGCCTTGATCGCTTGGAACGCGGAGGCCTCCGTCGCCCCAAGTCCATTGCTGGTCCTTCTTGGTGAGCACGAAAAGAGGGCGCGCAAGGGTCGAGAAGTCCCGAATGAACCTGCGGTAGAAGTTAGCGAACCCAAGGAACTGCTGAATGTCCTTCTTGTTTTCCGGAGTCGGCCAAGCGGAGACGCCTGCGACCTTGACGGGGTCCATTTCGACGTGGTTGTGGGAGATGATGACTCCGAGGTACTCGATTGACGATTTTTCAAAGTCGCACTTCTCCGCCTCGAAGGTACAACTTGTGCTCCCGGAGTCGCCGTAAGACCTCCTGGACAATCTGCCGGTGTTTCCGGAGGTCGGAATGGGCGATCAAGATGTCGTCAAGGTAGATCATGACGTCTCCGGAGAGGATGAGGTCCTGGAAAATGTCATTCATCATCGTTTGGAACGTCAGGGAGAGTTTGTCAGGCCGAAATACATCACCAAGGGCTCGAACAGGCCTCGGTTAGTCCGGAAAGCCGCTTTCCACTCGTCACCTTCCTTGATCCGGACGTTGTTAAAGCCCCAACGGACGTCGAGTTTGGTGAAGTAACGAGCGCCTTTGAGCCGGTTGATGAGGTCGTTGATCAGCGAAAGGGGGTACCGGTTTTTGACAGTCATCGCGTTGAGAGCACGGTAGTCCTGGACGAAGCGGAGTCCGCCGTCCTTCTTCTTGACGAAGAAGACCGGAGATGCCATCGGAGACTTGGAGGGGCGAATCCGGCCCGTCGAAAGCCCTTCCTCGATGAACGCGTCGAGCTCGCGTTGCTCGAGGGGCGAGATGGGGTACACCTTACAGTTGGTGGGCTTAGCATCGGGGACGAGTTCAATGGCGTGGTCCCAGGCTCTCCGCTCCGGTAGCGTGTCGAAGGACTCCTTGTTGAAGACGTCCTGGAACTCCTTAGCCCAGTCCGGGATCTCGGAGGGCGGAGGGGCGGAGTTCCTGGCGAAGGCTTCGGCCAGGCGTTGCGAGACAGTACTGCCCAGCGTATCTCCTCCGAGGGACGGAACGAGGTGTAGAAGATGCGGTCACCATCTTCAAGCTGACCATCGTCATCGTCGTCGCCGGAGTCCCGGCGTCAGATCAGGCAGGCCGGAGTCGTCACCGGAGACGGAATCGTCTCCGTCATCAGACCCAGAAAGGTCCATGGCGCAGACCGAGGGGAACGGGCCGGAGCGGAGACGCTTCTGAAGCGACCGGAGTCGCCGCAACTCGGTCCGTTCGACGCGCTCTTCCTCACGGCAGGTCGAGCAATTGGGGGCACCATGTCATCTTGACCTCCTTGGTTTCCCAATTGATCTCTGGGTTATGTTTCCGCAACCAGGAATACCCCAGGATGAGGTCTTGCTTGCCAAGATGGGTGACGGCCAGCTGAACTCGTTCGGCATGGCCCTTGTAGCGCAGGACCAAGTCCGCGATCTGTTTGATGGAGCCAGCGTCATTGGGGGTGCCATCGACATTGAAAACCGGAATCGGCTGATCAAGAGTGCGGACCGGAATGCCATTCCGAGCAACATAGTTCGTGTCAATGAAGTCGGAGGTGGCACCACAGTCGACAAGCCCAGAGAGTGAGAGCTTCGCGCGCTGGTGGTGGACTCGAGCTCTAACGGGAGGTGGAGGGAGTTCGCCCCAGGGGCAGCGGCAACGGTGTACTGCTTGGGCAGTTTCTTTTCCCAGGCAGTGAGGCGGCGGAGGACGATGACCGGAGTCGCGGGCGGAGTCGGAGACGGAGTCGAGGGGGGCAGGAGAGGGTGTGTCTTTCGTTTCGGGCTCATTGTAGGGCAAGGAACTGCATTCATCATACAAAGAGGCAAAACGATTTATAGACGCGAACGAGGGCACACCAGTCACTCGTCGCGGGGGACAAAATCCTCTCCGGCCATCGACTCCGCTGCCATCTCCGGCAGGGCAGCTGTGTCCGTGTAGCGGGCGATCAACTCCGCTAACATCTCGTCACCGAGTTGTTGGATCACCTCGTCGAGGATGTCCATCGAGCGGACATCGGCGGGGAGGGGGCAATCCCGGGCGAGATGGTTTGGGTCGCCACACCTGAAGCAGGCGCGACGAGGGGCACCCCGAGCCCTGGTGCGATCCAACTCCATAGGGGACGGGAGCTGGAGGCGCCGGAGCGGGGGCGGGGCGGGCCGCGGGTGGCACGACCGGAGCCACCGGGCGGAAAGGGGCCGGAGCCGGGATGCGGTTGACCGGAAACGGAGTCCGAATCAAACCGCCAGGCGTCTTGGGGGCGGCTGACTTGATCAGCTTGGCCCGGACCAGGGCCTCGTATTGACGGAAGGCCGGGTGCGCCAGCTAAGGTAATCCCGGAGGTCCGGGGGTCGTTCGAGGACGTGATTCCGTTATTGATCAAGGGGTCAAGTCCGTGGCGGAACTTGGTCACCTTGACCAGCGCGTCTTCGAATCCGGCGAGGTCCATCAGGTCCTCAAAGTCGTCGGTGTACTGGTAGACATCCTTTGTACCCATGTGATAGGCGGAAGTCTCCAGCTTGGAGAGAGCGTGATCTTGCTCGTTCTCCTCGACGAACCGGAGTCGAAACTCGGAAACGAACGAGCCCCAGGACGGAAACGGAAACGGGGCTTTGCTTCCGTGGCGCTCCGCCCATTGCTGAGCGGGTCCTTCTGCCATAAACGACATGGCATAGCGGACAGCCTTTTCCTCGCTCGCCTCTCCGTTGACCACGAAGGCCTCAGGGGCAAGGCGGGCGTAGGTGCGGACCGCGTAGAGAGGAACGCGCGGCCGCGTTTCCGGTCGCCGTTGAAGGTGAACGGGGGTTTGGTCGCAAGACCAATTTTTGAGGCGAGGTTGATGTCGCCAAAAAGGGCTTCGGAGTCGCCCTGGACCGGAGTCGGAGTCGGAATCGACGTCTCCGGCGATGGTGTTTGGGGTCCGCCAGCATTATTAGCGGCGGCAGCGGCAGCGGAAGCCTGGTTGGTGAGTAAAGCAAGGGCCTCAGTTAGGCTATCGATTTTCGCCTCGAGTGAGTCCAGCCGGGCGTCTGCGGTAGGAGTGACTCCGGACGGCATGACGGGTGCGGGGACCACAGGAGTAGAGGAGGAGGGGACAAGTGGCAGGGGCGGTGACGAGGGCGGAACGGACTCGTACTCGAGCCTGAGTCAGCGCCGAACCTGGCAATCTTGTCCGGTTGATCCCGTAGAGAGTTTCTTCTGCTGTAAGGGCAACCCCGGAGGCCTGAGATCAAGGTCCTAGCAGGGGAGGATCCAAAGCGTGAACATTGGTAAGCGAATACAAATGAAGCTGACCTAGCAGGGGAGGATCCAAAGAGAAGAAACTCTAAGGGTCCGCCTGCTAGGTAGCTGACTATATACTGCTTGTCCGTAGCTGCCGCTGTCGGGCACAGAAGGCTTGGGCAGCGTCGCAGGCGAGGTCCCAGGGCGACCGTCGGGAGGGCGTTGACGGATCGGTGATTGTGCGGGCGAGATGGAGGGCCGGACCGGAGACGGAACCGGAGTCGGACCGGAATCGGAGGCGTCTCCGAGGGGCCGAAAGGGAGGTTCCCCTGACAATCCTGCTTGTCTAGATGTCCAGGCTTCAGCTGATTACAAAGTTGCATCTATCCTCCGGGATGATCTTATCTTGTGTATCACTTCTTCCCTGGAAATGGTATGCCTTGTCTGACAGCAGTAGATATTTAATGATTATATTCTTAGATACAAGGCATCATTGTGAGAGAGATGATGTCATTAATATCTATTCTAAACTTATGGCTCTTGACAGGCTGGAATCACACATCTCATGGACCAGATTGTATACTTACCTGGCCTCAATGTTGATGTATGTTGAACAATAACTGGATCAGCAAATGGCTAACCATTCATGCAGGACATTGATATTCTGATTGATGCCCTGGGCCATGTCAAGCTTTCACTCTACCTACAGGGCCCAAATAAAATAGAAACTCCGAGATATCCTTGACGCGAGGGACGAGCGGCTCAAGGGTATCTGCGGATAAGTTAGATAGAGATGTGTCGAGTAGGCTATCATGTGACGCACTTTGGCTTTCTTCTCCGCCCTCGACACGTCTCTCCGGCTTTTTCTCTTTTCTCACTCCTGCCCAAGCCTCGTTTCTCTCTGCACTGCCATGTCAGACAGGAGTCAGAGCCCTACAGACGCGCCGCCCAGAACACGCCGCACGCACTCCTCGGCCGGCGTCATTGAAGCCCTCAAAAACCTCAGCTCTCTTCAGAAGCGCGCCGAAAACGAAAAAATAGAGGCCAGGAACGCGCTCAGGGCGGAGAAGAAACTCCTTCATGCGCGGGACCCCGAAAACAACCCCCGATGCCTCCGACAACGAGTCCCTCATCACAGTCGAAGAAGAGCCGCAGCCTCTCTCCCCATCAGTTTGGGACCGGCTGCTCTCCAAGGCCTCCCCCCGCACAGCTCTCGAGGCCATCGCAAAGTTCGGCGATGTGATGTCAGGCAAGCGAAAGGCCCCGGACCTAGCCCAGCCGCCAGCCAAAAGACTGCGAGAAGAGACGCGTCTTGTTCCCGGCCTTGCCCTCCCAGTCACCTTCCACCGCTTCCTCCATGACCTTTTCCGCCTTGACATGGAATGCCCACTCTCCCTGTTCACCACTTCCTCTCTCCGCTACATCGCTACCAACGCCGCCACTCTGCCCACGAAAAAGATCAACGCGCCCGAGGGTGTCGATAAGCGGCCCGTCGTCCTGGATGTGGGCGATTTTCAGAAGAACGTTCTGGACGAGAACAATATGGACCGCGGCCAGTGGATCGAGGCCAGCAAGAATTTTCTCCAGTTCATTAGAGAAGCCCAGCCGGAGCGCCTCCAACGTTTCGCAGACCATTTCGCCTTTTTCGAGCAGCACCAAGATGGAGAAGATTTATTTCCAGCCATTCTCAAAACGGATATCAAACTCCGCTCCCAATACACCCTCTCCCCCTTCATTTTCGACGTCGCTTTCTATAGCTCCCACCTGCAGACTGCTATCGTTGACCTGAAGATTGCCCGCGCTAGGTTCACCCAGCCCGCTGCTCCGCTTCCCCCCCAGGCCCCCCGACTCCCTGCTTCTGCCGTCTTGCGCGTGGGCCGGGGCCCTCTGTTGCGAGGCGGTGGCGGCTTTCCAGCCCGTCCTTCCTTTCGGCCAGGCACCGGGGTGGGAGCGCGCGACCCCGTCTGCCTCATTTGCGCTAGATCAGGCCACACGGGCCCAACCTGTTCCTCTAGATCCCTCCCAGACGGCAAAGCGACTCACAGCGAATACAAGAACGACTCTATCGTCACCAAGGTCGGCTCCTTGGACGTCTGCAGGAACTGGAACACCCGCGGCGAAGGTTTCTCGGGATGCACCCACAACAGAGAGCGTGTGCACCTGTGCTCCTTCTGCGGAGACCGGTCCCACCACGCATTCAGCTGGTCTTGCCAACGCAACCCCCTCGCTGCCTAATGACGAAGCAGACATCTTCTTGCTCTCTATCTTGCCATCTCCTGCTTCCGACGACGAAATTTTCTCCCGAGTTATCACGCCTTACGACCCAGATGCTTTCTTCGATTTGCTGTCCTCGCTCCATCTTCTTGGCACCCACGGCTCCCTGCCCGACAAACTGCGACGAGGTTTCCCGATGGGTGATTTCCCGGTCCTCAACGAGACCAAAATCTTCCCCAACCACCCTTCAACTGCTGACCACGATGCCTTTGTAAACGGCTATCTGCACGAGGAGGTTGAGGCGGGTCGGATGAGCGGCCCCTTTTCCCAGGAGAAGACAGAGTCGATTCTCAAGGGCCCCTTCCAATGTTCGCCAATCATCATCGCGGTCCAACCTCAAGGCCCAGGCGAACCGGACAAACTCCGGCTCTGCCGCCACCTCTCCAAAGGCGACCGTTCCCACCCGTCCACCAACTTTTTCGTCGACAAAGACAAATTCCCTACCAAGTTCGGTACCGCCTCTGACGTAGCCGAGATTGTGAGTTTACTCTACCTGCTCTGCACTCTTCCCCACTCCTTTTGCTCTGCCCTTCATGCTCTGCACTGTTACGTCCTATACTCTGTATTTGCGTACTCCTATCTCTGATATGCAACCGTTTCCCACTGCTCTGCAGTCTCTGCCCCGCTGCCCCCCTCTGCTGTCCCGCTTCTGCTCTGCTGGCCCGCCTCTGCTCTTCCCACCACTTACACCATCCCAGATCGCTTCCGCCCCTCCTGGCACCCAAGCCATGGTCCTCGACATCGCAAAATTCCATAGAACTTGCCCAATTCTACCTGCCCACAAGCGCTGGTTTGTCCTCCGTGGCCCCAAAGGCTTTTACATCGATCATTGCTGCCCCTTCGGCTGCGCCTCCTCCAGCAGCAATGCGGGCCTTATTGGCTCTGCCATAATCGATATCTGGGTAGCTCTGGGTTTCGCGCCCGCAAACCGTTACGAGGATGACATCCTGTCAGTCCGCCAACCAGCAGCTTCTCGCATCATCCCTTCAGGCCGCCCTTCCCACTTTTGGTACCCCGCCACCCGATCTGACGCCCTTCACGCCATTCATTCTTTGCATATTCCTTGGCACCCTACCAAGTGGACGGAGTATCTGTTTGAACTGGTATACATTGGCTTCCTGTGGAACTTCCCCGACAAGACTGTAGCTCTGCCAGAGGACAAACGCCTCAAGTTCTTGAGGCGTATCCACGATTTCCGCTCCATATGCAAATCCGGGAAATGCCAACTCCTCCACGTGCAGAAGATTCACGGTTCCCTCTGCCATCTCTCTTTCGTCCACCCCCAAGGGCGCTCCTACTTGCCGGCCCTCACCTCTTTCATCATCGCTTTCGAGGGCAATACTTTCAAAACCCGCCGCCCCCCGCCCTCAGTCTACTCCTCGTTATCCTGGTGGGAAACCACCCTCTCTGTCCCTCGAGTCTCGCGCTCTATTGCCCCGAAGGGTCCACGCCAGGACCGCCTCCTCTACGTTGACGCCTCCACAGCCTGGGGCATTGGCATCTGGCTGGATGGGCACTGGGGCGCCTGGAAAGGCTCGGGCGACTGGAAATCCCGCCAGCGGCACATCGGCTGGCTCGAGACAGTGGCCATCGAGCTGCTCGTTCTCACACTAGATAGCCTGGACCTCGAAAATGCCTACCTTCTCGTCCACTCTGACAACCAGGGTGTCATTGGTGCCTTTGACAAGGGCCGCAGCCGCAATGCAGACATTAACCTCTCCTTACGCCGTATTTTCGTTACCTTAGCAGCCCGTAATATTTCCCTTGACTTAGTTTACATTCCTTCAGCTTCCAACCCCCGCAGACCCTCTCTCGCGGGGTGTTCTCCCAGACAGCGCCTCCCGTATTTCCCCTCTGCCATGCCTGCCGCCCGATCTAGCCTCCTTTTTTGTACCTTCGTGACCGTGATAATTACACGTGACCGCGTAACCGGTCTTTTCTCTACTACTATGTCCAGAGACCTGTCTCACCACCTGCCGCCCCCGGTTCCCATGCCCCAGCGCCCGGCTCCCGCCGAGATTGCCTCCCGCCTGCCCTCTCTCACAACACCAACCGATCTCCTGGCCTCCATGCCTTCCACGCAACCACGCGTTGAGCCTTTCTCGCGTTTCTACCCCTCCCAGTCGCGTCCCGCGCCTCGCCCCAAACCTTACTCTGCACCCAGACCCGTGCACACGGCCAAACTTCCACCTCCCCCTTCCCTCCCAGCCAAACCTCGCAAGCCCCAAACGTGGAAACGGCATCGCGCCAAGCGAATTCCGGCCACCGGCCCTTGCAAAAGACCGCCTCCGGACATGGTCGTCCCCTTTCTCCCGGGCGAAGGAGGCCGAGCTCAGGGCCTCGCTCCCAGCAGATGAGGTCAACCGCTTGTACGCCGCCATCTTTGCAGCCTTTGCGCCAGACACGCAGTCCACTTACGCTGCTGGCCTCCTCCGTTTCCACCAATACTGCGACAACATCTCCATCGCAGAAGAAGCCCGGATGCCCGCCTCCGCTGCCCTCATCACAGCCTTTGTCTCCAGACACGTTGGATTGGTGGGAGGAGACACGGTAAAATCCTGGCTCTCTGGACTCCGAGCCTGGCACGATGTCCACCAAGCAGCCTGGCCGGGCAACGAGCCCTGGGTCAAACTCATCCGCCGCACCGCCAACAAGCAGGGTACCGCTTTCAAAAAGGCCCAGCGTGGCCCGGTCACTGTCCAACACCTGGTTGCCCTCCGCTCCAAACTCAAACTCAACATTCCCTTCGACGCAGCCGTCTGGGGCCGTGGCTTGCGCAGCCTTTTGGGGATGCCGCAGGTTGGGCGAGCTTACCATTCCTTCCACCAACACCTTTGACCCTCTCCTGCACGTTTCCCGCGCCGCCGAAACCAAGCGGATCAAGCACGGTGGAGCCCGCGCATCCTCTTTCCACATTCCCTGGACCAAATCCACCCGCGAGAGAGACGGCACGGTCATCCTCACCGACCGCGATGACCCCCTCTGCCCAGTCGAGGCCCTCCAGAACCACCTTTTTGTCAACGGCAACATTCCGGGCGAGGCCCCCCTTTTTTCTTTCCGCCAGGCAGACGGTCGCTGGCTTCCCATGACCAAGCCCTGGTTCTTGACTCGCTGCACAGAAATCTGGAAAGAATGCGCAATGCTTGCAGTGGCGGGTCACAGCTTCCGCATTGGCGGCTCCACCGAACTCCTTCTTGCCGGAGTCCCTTGTGACATTGTTGCAGCAACGGGAGGCTGGACCTCCCTTGCTTTCCTGCTCTACTGGCGGAAACTCGAACACATAATTGCAATGGCCGTCGGCAAGGCCTACGACAAGAAGAAAATCGAGGAGGTGGCCCTTGCTTTTGATCGCTTCCGCATCGAACATAATATCACTTTACTTCCCGAAGAAGACTGCTAGCCTTAGCTGTGTACCGTGTCCCTCCTAGTAATCCATCCATTTCACTCCCATCTCCTCCGTTTCCCTTCCTTTCCTCTTTTCCCTTTCTTCTTCCCTTGCCCAGCCCTTTTTGGGTAGCTGGGCAGAGCCCTGCGGCGCTGCCCACCCTTGTGAGCTGCGCTTCGGGTTGCTAGATTTGGGCAGCCCGCAGGCCCCCGGTCTTCACGCGCTCAGAGTCGGCAGCCTAAGACCAGGCGTCCCAGGCGCTTGCTCGACCCAAGTCGAGTTCCCCTCGGGACGGCCTAAGCCTTCCGCACACCTCGTTGCCCGGGCCGGTCCTCGCCGGCCCGCGTCTTGGTGCGCCGACTCTTTCCCCCACTAGCGGTCACTTGCGTGCCCGCTAGCGACGAGGCGAGCTCTTTTCGGAGCTCACTCGTCCGTCTCCTCCTCTTTAGCCTAGCGCTCCAGCCGTCTAACTTATCAAAACATTGCCCCTCAAACCAGAGAATGCACTGAGTATTCTTAACAGTCTTGTTGACCGGGTAAACTATTATAGACCTTGTTAACCCATGTTTGACATCTCATGATCAGGTATTTTCCCAGGCTCACCAACTTATATATGGTTTGTGTTTGTACTTGCCTGCTATTCAAGTATTTGACATTGTCTACAGAAGATAATCTCATATCTAGTAAACTACCTGCATATACGATGCTGATGCAGTGGTCAGCAGCTTATCAGCGAGGCAGCCGCAATCAGTTCTACAGACAAACAATAATCTGGCAATCAGGTATTCACCATGAGTCAGGTGTCCAAGGATTGAACCTCATCTGTCACAAAATTACAGCCTTTCTGCTTCTTCTGAGTGGTCCTGCCTCAGGAGTTGTTTTGCAGTGCTGTGTTCCTGCAGATATTACGTTCACCACTATTAAGCATACAGGCTGTATGCGATATGAGAGGGATACCATAGTTCTTGGTCCAAGTCTTAGTGAGACTTGTCTGATGACCTCAGAGACATTAGATCTAAATGAGATATGCGCTGTCTGTGGTCAGCCATATATAAAACCTATTAGTGTGGATATGGGAGACACTATTAGGGTGGGTATGGTAGGCGCTATTGTGAACGGGATGTTCAAGCCTGTTAGTGTGGATATGAGAGACACTATTAGGGTGGGTATGATAGGCACTATTTTGAACAGGGTGTTTAAGGCTATATAAGTACTACAATGATATAAATAGCCTTTATCAAGTAACAGAGTATGAAAGAAGAGAGAAGTCTTTTGCTGATAATCAAAATTACTTTTAAAATGCAATAGATGTAAGGGCAACCCGGAGGCTCCAATGAAGACGTAGCAGGGGAGGATCCCCCCTCTGTCCTCCCTCTGTGCTACTTGAAGCTTCATCCGGTCTTCCCCGTTGTCAAGCTTGAGCTTGCCCAAGATGACCCTTTGATAAACAACCCTCGATTAGTCCAAAAGGCCGCCTTCCAATCGTCTCCTTTTTTTAATTTAGACGTTATTAAAGCCCCAACGAATGTCGAGTTTAGTGAAATGGCAGGCACCCTTGAGCCTATTGATAAGGTCATTAATCAACGGAAGGGGGGTACCGGTTCTTAATCGTCATTGCGTTGAGGGCACGGTAGTCCTTAACAAACTGAAGTCCTCTGTCCTTTTTCTTAAGACGGGGGAAGCTATTGGAGATTTTGAAGGGCGAATACGGCCTGTGGCAAGTCCTTCCTTAATGAACACGTCGAGTTCACGCTGTTCAAGGGGAGAGATCAGATACACCTTGCAGTTGGCGGGCTTCGCATCAGGGACAAGTTCGGTAGTGTGGTCCCAGGCTCTTTGCTCTGGTAGTGTGTCGAAGGACACCTTGTCAAAGACGTCTTGGAACTCCTTAGCCCAGTTCGGGATCTCTGAAGGCGGGGGGGGGCCAAGTTACGTGAAAAGGCCTCTGCAAGGCGTTGGGACACTGTACTCCCAGCGTGAATCTCTTCTACTAGGCAAAGGGAGGTGTAGAAGATGTGGTTGCCATCGTCAAGGTGTTCGTCATCGTTGAGATCTGGCGAGGGGTTTGGGGTGTCTGAAGCGGCTCCGAATTTGTCCTCAGCATCATCTAGGCCAGCAATGTCAACAGTGCAGATGGTAGGGAAGGCACCTGTGAGTAGTTGTGATTTGAGGAGTCGGAGGCACTGAACCTCTGCGTGTTTGGTCCGTTCCTCATCTAGGCAGGTAGACGACTCATTTTCACCTCCTTTGTTTCCCAGTTGATCTCGGGGTTATGCCTTTTGAGCCAGGAGTACCCGAGTATCAGGTCTTGTTTCCCAAGGTGGGTTACAGCCAGCTGAACGCGTTCGGAGTGTCCCTTGTACTGCAGAACGAGGTCCAAAGTAGCTCCACAGTCGAGCAGACCTGAGAGGGAGAGCTTGAGCACGTTTGCAGTGGACTCAAGTTCTAGGGGGAGGTGGAGCGAGTTAGCCCCAGGTGTGGCGGAAATGGTATAGCTGCTAGGTAGCTTTTTATCTTTTCTTCGCCATTTAAACCTTTTATTCTGGCCCTGGTTGATAAGATAAGACAAGGAGGAGATAAGATGGACAATAAGATGGTGATTGGATCATTAGATGTTGATGTTGCTGTTGATTGACAGCGTGGAGTTGGACATGAGGCAAACAGCACGTAACGGCATGGCTAAAGTATGATGTCATTGCATCTCGTATTAGGCATGGTAAACACATGGTAGTAGTGTATATAAGTAGAGTAGATTTCGTCATGTACCCCAGTCTTCGAATTCCATCATCTCTACGATATCTTTTCACGGTGCTTCTTGCTTGCCTTCACTGGCCAACTGGCATCCTCTGAATTGGTGTTGTTTGTGACATAATTCGAAGACTACCCTCTTACCCTCGTACCTTCCTACCTCCTACTACCTACCCAAACCACTTCCCTACCCCAAAACTATCGCCAATTTTCCTCCCATCCCTTTCCCACACCTCTTCCCTTCTGCTTTAGGTTGTCTGCTCTAGGTCCTTCTGCTCTAGGTTCTTTTCTTTCTGGCTAGGTACACTCGGATAATCCAAGGGACCCACTCAAGAGGACACGCGCTTTGTACTTGCAAGAGAGACGTCTGGCCCAACCCAGACATTTGACTACAGGTTTGGTGCAAAACTGGTTTACATAAATAGTGAGGTTTATAGACTGAGTATTAGATATTGAGGTGTGCATATGAGTATATTTGGATATCTACTAGAACTATGTACTGTAATTAGTTGTGGTTCTGGCATGCGTTACAGAAAGTAGCTAAAGAGAGAGTAGGTACCCATAGAGTAAAAGAGAGTGCCTTCGCTCTTACAACTCGTCAGAAACTAATTTCAAGTATAATCTAAGACTTGAATGTAGGGTTGTATAGACTGTCAAATAAACCTGTCCAGCACTTAAATCAACCTCATAACTAATCTAGATCTCTCACAGTACCATTATCAGTGTTATCTATTCCAAACATGATGGGTCTACCATGGCATAGCCTTTGTAAATCTGGATAACCTGAGTATATAGACTAGTAGGGGTATAATCTATCTTCTAGAAAGTGGAGCCCCCTCATCACCAGCATATCACCATCCTAGGTTATATAGCACTAAAGGTCTTCAGTAATTAACCAACTCTAATACTTGCTGTATGGTTAGGAATGGGTAGGTGTGTGGTGGACCATCCTATAGTACTATATCAACTTGGATTATAAAGTCCCATGCATGGGGTCCCAAGATATCAGTAAATTACTTTGTAACTCAGTATTTAATCATACTTGGTAGTTAATATGTTGATGTGATGGTACCAGATGAGATGGCTGACTAGGAAGACTAATGGTAGGATGATATACCTTTTAAATAAGCTCACTCCTAACTTTATCCACCTAGGCTAGCTAGAGATCTATGGTTATCTTTCAGGGTTGATAGAAATCAAATACCACTGATAAGTAAATACACTGCATAATCGGGATTATATTGACTTAGGATTAGAGATGGACATACTAGAGCCTCAGCTTGGAGTCTCTGGCTATATAAGTCATCTTCCTTATAATGTTAGAGTACCAGATATTCTCTTTTATATGATGGAATAGCAACTACAGTAATTACTGTAGCATTTTATTCAGTTCGGCGGTCACGCGTCATGCCGGCCGAAATATTTCGGCATGTCACGGTGCATTTATCTGAGTGCCGAAAATTTTCCACCATCAAAAAAAGGCATTTTTTTTTCTGAAAACAGCCCTGCCGGGTCATGTAAACATAAGTGGTTCTACTCTGAATCATCTTCACTCTGGTGTGAGTGCCAGAGCCTTGTTGCATACCGTTTGGTTGGTTGCAGAGGCCTGGCGCTGCGACGGGTAGGAATAATATCAGTTTCAGTAACATCGGCACTCTCTGCCACAGCCACAGAAAACAGTCCACCACCTGCCTTCCGCGAAACCCGCTTCCGTTTTGTCCCCATCACATCTGCGACGACCGCAAGGGGTGAGATGTCGCTGTCGTCGACTTGCCTTCAAGCGCTTGTCCAGTGCCGCGAGTCCCACCCGCCACTGACGAGCGATGACATGAAGCTCAATGAGCTCAGCCCAGTACGCAAGCAGGCACAACGGGTAGTACACATGGTTACCCGGGATGTGTGGGCAGGCAATTGCATTGAATTGATCTTCTTCATCGGCCTCGGCGACGGCTGCCAGAAGTGTACGAATGACAGAAGCCGGCGGTGCGGTGAGTTTAGAGAAGTCGTGTGTGGTACTGGTTGGCTGTTGAGAGACAAGGTAGTCATCCGAAGCACCAAAGTGAGTCGATGCTCGAAGGGGGGCTAGCGGGAAGGCCAGAAACTGTGACACATTGAGCCGTGAACTTGGGAGAAGACTTTGATGAAGATCCCGGGGTAGTGAGAGAAGCGCAAGGCGTTCCTTTGTCAGCGGCATCTCGGGACGGTGGGTCTTTTCGACGGCGGGGCTCCTGGGAAGGTATGGGGTGCGGTGACGAAAATTTTCGGCG